TAATGTTCCAGGGGCTGGGCACAGGCTCTGCATGCAGGGGGCCTGGGGTCCACCCTCAGCACTCCAGGGTCCTGGGCATCTGTAACCTCAGCACCACACCTACCTTCTTCCGGGTCCTGAGTACGGGCTCAGGAATTCCCCAGAGGTCGGCAGCTGCGGGCTTGAGCGTCTCTGCTGCCACCCAGTGGGCACCTTCTAAATTACAGGGAGCTCAGCGGGGGACGGGATTTAGTTACAATGACGGGCCCACCCGGGAAACATCCCAAAGGGGCCAGAAACCAGGGTCACTTCCAAAGCAATTTCCAAAAAAGTAAGAAGCCAAAGTGTGGGTGCTCGAGAGAGACACTCGGCTGATGAGAGATGCTGCAGGGAGGGAGAAGAGACTTCTCTGGGTTTCAGTCTGAGAAGAGCTGGGGCTGGGCTGGGGAGACTGGTGGGTTCTAGGACCTTCCAGAGGAAGGTGTCTCGAGGCTGTCCAGGCCGGTGTCAGTGGCGAGTGGAACCGGTCCCTTCTGACCTTGTGACTTGGCCCGGCAGTGATAGTGGCCGGCTGTCCTTCAAGGAGCATGATGGGCCCCAGGAGAGTTCTCTGAGAACCCCCCTGCCCCCACATCAGATGGAGCCTGAGGACATTTCTTGGGATGGAGGGGAAACTCCAGAGAGCACAAGCCTTTCTCCACGGATGCAGAAGCCGGGTTGGGCCAGCAGCACAGGGGAAGATCATGGGGGGCTGGCTGGCTGTGGTGATGGGGGGGGGGGGGCGGGGAACTGAGGCCCAATCCAACACCTTGGATGTTCTCTCCAGCAAGAACAAAGCGGAAAAAGCCTTTCTGGCAGAAAGTTCTCCCCAGGAGGGTACGAGGCCCTGCTGGCGAGGACACTGCTCTGGCTGGGAGGTCCCCTCGATCCTCCGTGAACCAGATCCCCCACCGTGTCTTCACCTCACACTTAGAGGCTGGGGAAAAGACTGACGGATAGTGGGGCGTGGACCCCCACAGGTGCATGGCGCTCCCCCACTTCTGACAAGGAGATGCAGATCCTCGGGGACCCGAGGGCAGACCCACCTGCCCTCTCCTAACTGGTGGCCCCAATGTCCTTTGCCCCCCTCCCTCCAGCCCCCAGGGTCCCGCGTGCCACACACAGAGAAGAGGGGACTCACTGGTTCCCCCCTGCACTTGCTGTTTCTCGCACCCTTCCTGGGAGGCGGGGGGTTGGGGAGCATCTGTGCTTCTTAAGGCCGGTTCTGGGGGGCTCCAGTGGATGGAGGCTAGGTGCTGCCCCCCAACCCCACCGTGGTCCCTGCGGGATAGTTGCTCAGTCTGGAAGTTGGGCTGGCCGCTGGGGGGAGTGGACAGGAAGCCCCCCATGCCACCCCCAGGGAGCCCCAGGGTCTTGCAGGGTAACAGGTACAAGCCAGCCCACCTGGGGCTGGGGTCCAATTCTCGGCTGGCTGATGGGGGTGTGAGGCGCGGAGGCAGAACCGGGTCACCGGCTAACGGGTGGCCCCAGTCAAGGCCCGGGATTGGGGTGTGGGGGACGAGCAGGTGCTGGGTGTTGCTGCCCGGGTTGGCAGCCCACCTTCCCCCTCCCTAGCCCCCCAAGGGGTTGAGTGCAGTGCCAGGGGCCCTTGGGCTAGAGGGAGGGCTGAGGGCGGTGCCTGCTCCCACCCCCACCCCAGCAGTGGGAAGCAGTGGGGAGAACCTTTTCTGGAACTTTCCTCTGGGTGGCCCACTGCCTGCCTGTGTGTGAGCATTGTGCCAGATGGGAATGAGCACTGCGCATGTGATTACCAGGAAGAGCACCTAGCTGTGAGTCACCTAGGCGAGCCAGAAGGAGCATGCGCGGGTCCGGGAGGGCTTCTGGGAGCCAAGGCACAGAGGGCCAGGAAACACTCACCAGCGTCCTCAGAGCTCATGCGAAAGGTGGGGACTCCAGGGGCGCATTGGGCAGCTGCAGAAGGGATGGCGTGACACCCCCGTCTTCAATCTCCCTGCTGGGCTGCAGAGACGCGAGCAGCGGCCAGGCCCAGGAGTTTTGCCTTGTCCTCATGTTTCTGGAACCCAGATGGTCCGAGAGAGCATGAGGCTCTGAAGATGCAGCGGGAACCTAAAATGGCTTAGTGTGCCACTTGGCAGGCTGCGGTCCCGTCCCCGGGGTGTGGTGTGGACACCACCTGGGGTCTGTGCGTGTCTGGAGGGCAGGGCTGCGGTCCTGTCCCCGCATGTGCTGGTGTGTCAGGGGCAAGGCTATGGTCGTGTCCCTGCGTGTGCTGCTGTGTGTGTGTGGGGGGGGGCAGGGCTGTAGTCATGTCCTCGTGTGTGCTGGTGTGTGCGTACATGAGTTGGGGGACAGGGCTGCAGTCCTGTGCATATGGCGTGCAGCAGTGGAGTGGGAAGGGGGGTGCATGTTGGGGTCACCCAATCTCTTGCAGGGCAGCGTCCAGAACCACAAGGCCTGAACCTGGCACCTCAGGGGAGCCCCAGAGTCTGGGCCAGGAGGGCGGGTGCCTGGGTGGGTGAGGGGAAGGAGGGCGAGAGTCGAGTGACCTGGAGTCCAGATTCAGTGGCGTCACCCAGATGGGTCCCCCAGGTGGCCAGGGGCACTGCTCAGGATCTCCCCTTCGAAGGAAGACCCCCAGGCTCAAAGGAGCGGAGAGAAGCAACCTGCCCCGCCCCCCAACAAACCAATCTCAGTGGGACCCACTGAGGAAGGGGACAGGGAAAGGAGGGAGGGTCCTGTGCAGGTTCTGTGCGAGACACCAGGAAGACCAACCGTGCTGTTTCTCCAAAATTTTATTTTAATTTAAATTACAGGGCCAGCCAGATATTCTGATAAGAAATGGACTTTTCCTCAGGAAGAAGGAAATGCTTTCACGGCAGCGTTGACAACGGTGTACATCTCTGCCTGCTTACTTCAAGGGTTAAAAATCACATCTCCTGACTGCAGGAAGATCAAACCTTTATAACACAAAGGAAGCCACGTCCAGAAGTTTTGGTAATAGGAATATATTAAATGACCTTAACCTCAAATGCAACCCTGCAACTCTGCATCCCATTTTTGTTTATAAACAAAAACAGGAACACAAAGACGGCCTCCCTGTCCGGTCCTGCTGTGACAGGAAGCCTGCCCCACGGATCTCACCTTCGAGGTGCCCACCTGTGTCTCCTCAGGAAGGGAGACTCGGCCTGCTCCCACCAACAGCGGACGAGCATCTTCACCCTCGATTGAGACATCTGCAGTGAGACCCCCCAGAAACCAGGGCCGAGTCTGCCTCCTCTGCAGCCGAGACCAAATTTCCTCTACGTCCCGCAGGAACGCACCGAGCACTTCACCCAGGGCCCAGGGAGGCCGTGTCAGGGACAGCAGCACCACACTCAGAACCAATGCGGTCTCCTGGCTTCCTAACGGGGGTCCGAGACAGAGGCTTTCAGACCCGTGGAAACATCACTTGGGGGTGGGGTGGGAAATCTTCCTTTACTGGCTGATAAATAATTGAATTAGTAAGAGAGGCTAGCAAAGGAAGAATTACGTGAATTTCTTAATCAGCTACGGCCATGCTGAACTCGAACGGGCAGACTCTGATTTGTAAGTTGTTAGCTGTGGTCTCCGCCCTGCTAGGACGGCAGATACCGTCCTAAGAATGTGATGTAGATTAGGATTCTAGAAGTCGTTCTGCCCATGGTCACAGTAACAAAAACGTGGTGCAAAATCAGTCACTTTATAAATACTGATACTTTGCAGCATTAAGGAACAGGACATCAAAAACATTCCTCGCAGGACGCCTAGGACTAGGGACTCTTCCTAAGAGAAGCCAAAGTTTTAATGATTCGTTTTCACAACTACTGTACTGGATTATTTACGCTAAGAAATAAAAGGTGGTCTTCAGAGGTTCCCACACACACAAAGAACCAGCATTCATCGAGCATTCGCTGAGCGTGATCACTCGTGGTCTGGCCACGCGGTGCTTATCTAGATGAAGGAAGCCGGCAGGAGGAAATGCAGAGTCCTGAGCTGTCCTGAGCTCCGGGTCCGTGTCACAGCCCCCGGACAGCACCCCGCTACATAACTGGGCACGAAGGAGTGGTTGACTTTGTTTCCTTTTAATGCCGTGGTACTGAAATGTGAAATCAGCATTTTCGTGTGATCTGAAGGATTTCAATTACATATGAGCATTCATTTGTTGTTTTTTTTTTTTTGCAAAAACTCACTATTAAGTAATAGTTACATACTAATACAATAACATTCCTCTGCTGTACAAATTAAATCATTTAAAAGAATTGAGCATTCTAAGAATTATATACAAAAGAAACCTGTAAGCATCGTTGAAATGAAATGCAAAGTGTCATTGCTAGCTCTACTGTTTTGAAATACCTTAAAAAAGTAAATTAACAAATACCCTTCAACACATCCAGGTTTATACGTCTCAAGAAAATCAAATGTCGGGAAATTCTAGAAAGCCATGAAAAGCATATATACAGTTTCCTTATGACCTTTCGCAGTGTCACACTTCTGAGAAATCGCTAAGAGTCAGGATCATTCCTCGCAGGCCACCTTTCTCCCCCGCAGGCCCCCGGGCACGGCTCCCCTAGGAGGCCCGGCCTCAGCCAGCCACGAACTCAGACCTTTCACCCAGGCAATGCGCCCAGGTTCCTGGGCTGTCGTACGCCCCCTTCCCACACCACACTCCTCTCTCCGCTCGCCCTCAGGAACCCAGCCACGGTCACGACTAGAGTCACCAAGTCTCTGCATTCTGAAATGACACGAAGATCAAGCCAGGACACGGGTGCTCTAGTGGGTAAGAAAGCAGCAGCTACGTTCTCCACCTCGGACTAAAAACCCCCAAAAACCAAAACCCAAAAAAAAAAAAAAAAAAGAAAAGAAAAGAAAAGAAAAAACCAAACCAAAAAAAAAAAAAAAAGAGAAAAAAATTAAGAAAAAAAAAACCCAACAAACAAAGTAGGTCAAATGAAAAACCGTTCACTTAACAGCAGATTAGCAGTAATGCTCCTCATGGGTCGGTGAGAGGCCTGATGCTGGATAGCTAACAGCAAATGCTGGACGGGGATGGAATATTTTAGAGGTTTATTGGAAATCAGGCTTCTTGCTGAGCGGGTCTCTTCAAATCCCTGATCTGTTTCACTAAATAGGTCTTCTCATCGTTAAACTGTTCGTCCTCGGTCCTGTCGTTCTGGAACTTGCTGAGGAACTCGATGAGCTTGGTCTGGTTCTTGAGGAGGATGTCCAGGATGGGCTGCGTCTTGTTGGGGTTGGCCACGAACACCTGTGCGGGGAAGGGCAGCGCGTTAGCGAGACAGAGGCGAGGGGCTGCAGCCCCGCCGGGTTAGTGAGGACCTGAAGGACTGTGCCCACCCACTCGCCCGACCCCGCACTGACACCCACGCTATTGCTCCCCCTTTCCCAGTGGCGGCCCCTCGTTTATAGGACGCCCACTTGTGGCCCTGGGATATCCTGGACCCTGGTTCAGGAATGCTGACTTAGACTCTGGAACAAAATGGGCACCGAGTACTTCTGGGCACAGGAGGAGAGGACAGACCTGAGGACAGCCTCGGCGGAAAGCGCCACACCATCACCTTCTACTCTGTGGGTCCGATCCTACGCTCAGATAAAGGACTATCCTCTAAAATTCTCTTTCTAAAATCAATGGCACTCCAGTTCCTTTTCTTCCCTTTGGTTTTGAGGCCACCCCTGGCCCTGCACTCAGGGGTCACTCCCAGTGCGGCTCAGCCACGGCACGGCAAGCGCCTCCCTGCTGTGTGGCGTCTCCAGCCCAGGGATCCTGGTTCTGAGTCTCTTTTCCAGAGCACACACACGCGAACTCGCTTGGCCGTCACCCTGCCCTGCTGTCAGCTGTGGGTGGGTGAGCAGGGGGCCGGCGGGCCCGAGCCCCACCTTGAAGACGTGGAAGGCCTCAAACTGGATGTTCCGACTCTTGTCCCGGAGCAGGTTCATCATGAGCTTGAGGTTCTCGGGCTTGCTGATGTACTTGGTCATGATCGTGAAGTTGTGTCTGTCGAGCAGCAGCTCCCCGAGAAGCTACAACGGCATTTGAAGGAAGCATCACCGGAAGCTGCCCGGTCAGAGCCCACTCTCCGGCGCCCTCCCCTCTGGTTACTCTCCCTCTAACGCCCTCCCTCTGGCTCTTCCCAGAACCCTGAAGAGCCGCACTGCGCACAGCGAGCGGAGCCCCTCTTGGCAGCCCCGTCTTTCCGTCTCTCTGTTGGGGGCGCACTGAGGGGGTGTGACGTGACTCTCAGGAGAGGCCAGCACAATGCAGGTGCCCCAGGATCTGCGTTCAATCCTAAGAAGAACCTGGCAGAGAAGGAAGCTCTGCCAACTAACCAACCTTGCTTTAATTGAGGAATAATTTTAATTAAATTAAAAAAATTGTTATCTGCACTTCACGGAACAAAGAACTTCAGGTCGCCAGCTGTCCATATGCGTACTCAGCAGAGACAATCCTCACTCAGCCTTCTCTGATCAGAATGATGGAAACCACTCTGCTCCTTCTCCAAGTACCTGGCGGTCCTCCTGCTTTCACCAGTGACCTCTCCCCCTTGTTAAGCTAAGTCAGCCTTCCAGGCTCACAGGGGTCTACAGCGGACTAGGCTACAGTAACCCAAGATATTGTTTTTTTTTTTTTTGGGGGGGGGGGACTCTGGGGGAGGTGTGGATCTAGGCTAATTTCTGACTAGGCTGGCAGACAGATATGAGGATCAGAGTGTGGTGCTGCACGGGGGTCTCTTGTGCTGGACCTACTAACACTCAGGGACTCGGGGTGATGGGAGTCACGTCTGGCCTGGGTAGGCCCCGACCACCTTACTCCCCGCCTGGCTCCCTCAACCCCAAATATTCTACACGTCACCACCTACTCTAGACTTTTCCTAGCCTGACACCAGCAGTCAGCACATCCCGGAGTGGGATGACTGGGAGTGGAGCAGGGGAGCAGAGTGGAGTTGGGTGGCGAGCCCCTGCTGGACCTCGGTGCACATGCACTATGCTTGTCCACGTTTCCATGCCTCCTTCCCAGGAGAGGGGGCGGCAGGGAAAGAGGAGCCCAGGGGCAGAGCAGATGCCCAGCACGTGTGAGGCCCTGGGTTGGAGTCCCACATGAATGGTGCTGCTGGGCGCAGCCAAAGCGCACACTGGCGGAGTGTAAGTGCGTGACCAATGCCCTTTCCGGGCCCCTGGTCATGTTCTAGGTCTGTGAAGTCCTCAGGAAACCCAGGTTGAGAGAGCAACTATGTCGTCATTTAGCCAAGAATCAGCTCATTGTGCAGGAAAATCAATCTGCTCTCCTCAGGATTTAGAGGAAACAGAGAATCTAGAAGAATCTAGAAGCTCGAGAGGCTCCCATCGACCCTAGCTTTTGGCCAAGGAGTGACCTGCATCGACTGTTATTTCTGTACCAGGGTCTGCCTCAGGTGTGTGCGCGCCCACCCGCCCCAGCAGCCGGGCCTCTAGTGGGGTGAGCACCGAGTGGAAATAGGTGAGCAGCTCTACTGCCGTCCACTGTCCATCAGTGGGAAGGTCCGGGCTCTCCAGGGGAGACTAGTAAGTCTTTATGGTCTTTGGACACACAAATAAAATGTCAGGCACAGGGAAGACAAGTGGGCAAAATTTGAATTTTACCAAGATACAAATTGCTGGTAAAATAAAAGCAGGAGGAAATAAATGCCAATGTGGCTGAAAATAAAAATGCAAACAAAATTTGTTTTTGGGCCACACCTGGTGATGCTCAGGAGTCAGCTCAGGCCCCCAGCTCAGGAATAAGGTGGGGTCAGGGGACTATATGGGATGCCGGGGATTGAACCTGGGTTGGCACCATGCAAGGCCATGCAGTGCCTTCCCCGCTGAAGTATCTCCACCCCCCAAAGTAAGTTAATTTTCATAAATTTAGTTTTGGTTTTTGGGTGGCAGGTTGGTGGTGATCAGGGGTCACTCCTGGCTCTGTGCTCATGTTCAAGCACCACCGCTCCCCAGAGGTTGAGAAGCACCTGCAGGGGATGCCTGAGAACATCACTGAGGGCTCCTTCGCAGTACCTACCCCTCCCATTGGGGCATGGGGCGCAGCAGACACATCACCTTGACTGATGTGAACCCAGACACTTCTGAGGGAAACTGGGCAGAGCAGGGCTCAGAGTGGGCCTGGCAAGCTCATGGCTCTGCGGAGGGGCGCACGCTGTGGTGAGAGGACCAGGATCCAACCCTGGGCCCTGCCAGGGAGGGCTCCCAACAAAAACCAAGGGGGAAGGGGAAGCAGACAAATGAAACTATTTTTCTACCCCTAATTCTGTGACTCCATCTGTATCATTCACACTCAACACTTCGGTGACCAAATGAGGCACACAGACTATTAGCTGTAGGAAGATGGGTCAGCAAACTTCCTGTCATGGGGTGGAGAGCAGAGATCTCACTCTGCTCCCACAGCGCGTCTGGATCTGGGGCAACCTTACACATGGGGGGTTCCAGCCAGGAGCACTCAAGACAATAAGCAAACAGCTGTTCCCAAAAATAGCCAGTCGGCTGGATTCTGCCACGGTGCACAGCCTGCCAACCCCCGCTTCAGAGTTCTAAATCTGGAACAGAGTCATTTTTAGTTCCAAATGGAACTGTCCAGATCCTTTCTCGATATGCTGACTTCCCGCACCCGCCTGCTGAACCCCATCTTTTGCCACAAACCTTTGACCACACACAGATATACTTTCCCGCAAAGGTCTTCGACACAGACCAGGCTCCCTTTCCCCAAATACATGTTTCAGCACAGGAGGAGGACAAGAGCTCCACGACTGACTGTCATACCTTCAGCGACTGTCTTTTTGTCACGTAATTTTCAGAATGAAGTAACTTCTCATATTCACTGAAGAACTGAAAGACAAGGAAACACACATCACGTGACTCTGGCTGCTCTGGAATCGCCCTGCACACGCCCTTCCGCTGTGCCACCCTTTCCCCAACCTGCTCCGGGTCCCGTGGGCTGGCAATGCCGACGACCTCCCCAGGCTCCTGTCCCTGATCCCCTACTCTAGCCAGGCCCAAAGATCTGGGCCTGCACTGTTAGCCCAAGAGAGAACTCCCTCCCCCCATCACTAGGCCGATGTCATTTCCAGGGGTTGGATGAGAAAACACAAAGTACCAATTTTCACAACTTAATCATGCAGCTCAGTGCACAACCACCAAGTTACCTGTCTCTTCAATGCATCGGCCTCCAAAGCAATGACTGTATTTCACTAGAAACTGCCATGCTGTTTTACACACACAACCCAGGTTGTCACAAAATCTGCAAGACTCAACGCAGTGGACTGGGAGTTCTTTACCCAGCCCTGGGTTAACTCCAGCAGAAGTGCCGGACTTCTCGCTGCCAACTCGTTCTCCCCCGGTGCAGAAACAAGCCATATGGCGAGGCCCCGGTTGGGTTGGGTCGCTGTGCTTCTAGGAGCTCTCGCCGCAGCTCTGTACCCGCTAGGCACCTGCACAGAGAGCCAGGCGGGCGCGGAGAACACTGGGCGCGGTGCAAACACCATGAATTGTGTGCGCGTAGCTTTCTATTAACACAGGGGAGGAGAAAACGTGCTTCTGGGGGGGGGGGGGGGGGGGATGAGAAAATGAAGACTGGGAGAATGCAGGAAGTGAGAGACTCCAGAAGTGACCAACATGATGCATGTGTTCGCCAGATAGGGCCTGCCAGGAGCTGCTGGCATGCAGCCGGGTTGGAGCCCCCCGAAAGGCCAGGTAGGTGTCGTAGACTTTATCTTCTTGTTTGCTGGAACGGTGAAGGGAGTTTTTATTTTTGGGCTTTGGGCCACACCCAGTGGAGCTCTGGGCTGGCTCCTGGCTCTGCACTCAGGAAACACCCCTGGCAGGGTTCTCATCGGGGGACCTACACACGCTGCTGGGGATGGAACCAGGGTCGACCACATTCAAGGCGAGAACCCCGCCTACTGTACTCTCTCCAGCCCCTAAGGGGGAGTTTTAAAACTTCCAAATTTTGTCATATGAGAATCCCTCAACTGGCCAGTGGCTTTTTATCTTTCTTTGGGCCATACCCAAGCAGTGCTCAGGGGCCCATGAAAAACACCAGAACTGGGATTGGCCGTGTGGAAGGTAAGCACGGCTGCTGGCTTCTCTCCAATCGGAGGCCAGTTTCCAACAGCGGCCTCTGTGGCCTCTCAGCCAGCAGGGTGGGTTTACAGGCCGTGCTGGGGGCCACACCTACTGGGGCTCCAGTGGACACGGCAGTGCCAGAGACTCAACTCAGGTCTCAGCTGCAAGCAGATAAGCTCCAGCCCCGGACAAGCAAGCTTTCTGAGAGGCCCCTGGCTGGGAGGTGGCAAAGGGCGTCTGCTCAGTCATCTGTGGCCAGGACACATTCGTGCCAGAGCTTTACGAAGGGTGTTCCTACCCAGGCTTCTGAAGTTTATTTATTTTTCTGACTAATACCTGGCAGTGCTCAGGGCTTACCCTTGGCTCTGCGCTCAGGAGTCACTCCTGTGGAGATGGGAGGGTGGGGTGGTGGTGCAGGTGTGCCCTAAGGGGACAGTATAGGGTTCTGGGGATCAAGTGTGCCACTCACTGTATTATGGTCTGGTCCATGGCCTTTGGGATTTAGACCAGACCCACACTGCAGCGTGAGGTCATTGCGGTGGCTGGGGGCCGGTCCTGCTGGAGTCCCGCCAGCCTCACTGAGGCAGTGACTGTGTTCTCCCAGCATTCTGCCCCCTTACAGGAAAGACTTCTGGGCCCCCACCCTGAAGATCAGAGCGAAGTGTCCCCTCAGAGGGGATGGATGAGCTTGCAGGTCACACAGGTCCTCTGTCCTTAAGTGACCACCAGAACAGGATGGATAGTGACATTGGCCTTGAGTCAGTCAAGAACCTGACTGTGTGTTCAACTTCCTGCTTCAAGGCAAAACCCATGGCAGGAAGCCTCTCTCTTGGGCGCACTGGCAGGATGGGCACTTACTCCCCTGGACAACAGGCCAGGCCAGGGGCTCTCCCTCTCTGGACCTAGTGATTGCACAGAGTGTTCTCAGCAACAGTAGGACCTGCCTTGCTTGACAGATGCTGTAAGTTTTTCACTGATTTTTCTTCCCTCTCTGCCTTGCTTTAGAGTAAGCTCAGAGCCAAATATCCATGATTCCAGAGCATGTACTTTTCGGTGTGGGCTAACTATACCTCCGGCTTAAACTTAAGTTTATTGATAACAAGAAGTTACTGTTTGTTGTGATGCTGGGGATTGAACTGAGGCTTCACACATGCATAGCAAGTGGTCCACTGCTGAGCCCCACTCCCGGCCCATCCTGGAGTAACTTAAATGACCCATTCATTCCCGCCACCCCCCTTATTTCCCTTGACCCCTATCAGCTCTGGCTGCACATTTCTGTTAAGAGATCTCATTTTGTCAGACAGTAAAATACTGTCAACTAGTCATCTCTTACAAACATATTTTATCATAAAATGAAAGATTTCACAGCTGCAATCCACTTCCTGGAAATGAGCAGGCACTTCTGACTGGCTTTAAGGCCTGACATGTTAAAAGACAAACCAAACACCGTCCCCCCACCCCTGCCCCCGGAGCCCTGTGGTGGTGGGGACGCAGCTGCAGGGTGAGGGCCGGGCCGCACATGCGCCTGCGCACTCCCAGGGAGTCTACTCTCAGGGAGTATGTGGGACCTTGGGGCGCATGAAGGCAGGTGGTGTAGACAGACACAGGTAAGGCAGGGGAGATGGGCCAGGGGGACTGAGGGTGCAGGGCAAGCCCCCACCGATCCCCAGCACAGTCCCCATAACCGGAAAAGGAATCGACAGAAAAATGGCACTGTCATTTTAAACAGACCCAATCACACCTGGGCAGAGAAAAAAAGGGCTAGGAGAGAGCCGGCAACTGTGGAGATGGCTTCCACGGGCATGTCTGTGCCTACCCTTATGGACGCACAGACATGAAGAGCCAGATAAGGAAGACAAGGGGCACCCTGAGCCTGGGCACTGCATGGGGAGAAGAGTCCGTTTGCAACACCCCGCCCCGCCCCGCCCATGGCGGGAGGGGACTCTGTTGGCAGGAGGGTCGGCCCGGGCCAGACAGGTGTCCTGCCGCAGGACACCCCAGATGACCGTTTTACAAAGAGAAGATTTCTGCAGCCCCAGGGGTCACTGCTCCCTGTTCTAAGCTTGAGCAGCAGGACTGTGAGCAGCAGCTGGAGGTGGGGTGGGGGGAAAGGGGCCCCAGACACGCTTCCCTGACTCTCTCGTGGCGATAAAGTCTAAACTTTCTCTTTAAAAGTGACGAAACACGAAGGGCCAGAGACCATCGGAAAGACGGTATTCTGTTCTGACCGGGCAATGCTTTCTTCTGTGTCTCATTGGACAAAGAATTCAAAGCCGTAAAGAAACATTTTCCATGTAGAGGTAATATTTTACCACAAAATCAATTTAAAAGTCATTTTTTTACAACAAAACTAGTCAGTGATTCTCTTTAAATAGCATCATATATACTTACTCTATCATAATGCTGTTCCAAAAATTCTGCACTGAGCAATTTATGTCTTGTAAGTAAATCCTAGGAAAAGAAAATACAATTTTTAACAACTGTTCCGCATTCAAATTCTATTAGGAAAGAGAAAACATTCTATGCCATTTTACCTAATAAAAATTGTTGTTAAAATATTCTTAGGTATCAACTGATTTGAAAATATTGGTTCTATAAGAGCAAATAAGATCACCAATAATTTATTTTTTAATTTTCATTTAATTTTTATAAAGTAGAACACAATATTTGATTACATTTAATATTCAAACACCAATCCCACCATCATCATACCTTCCCACCATCATACATGGGATGTTTCCATCCCTACCCCAACCCGTTTCAAAGGAGAACCGAAATAATTTAGTTTATACTATTTGTTATAAATAACCACAGAAAGTATTCCAAAAAGTTTCCTTAGAGGGGAGTGTGTGAAGACTGTTGTATTTCACCAAGGGGCCATTAAGCCCTTCTATAAGAGATCACTAACATATTGTTAAAGGTTGAGCCTTGTGTGCTTGTGCGTGTGTGTGTATGTAAAAATATATTTCCCTCTAAGATTGGTTGCCTTCTACTTTTAGCCCCATCAAAAGTGGTGTGCTAATCTTGGGATTAGGAGTGGTATGAGGTATGAGATGTTGCGTGGTCCAGGAATACATTCACTCACGGGTGAAGCTCGGCCCGAGCATGTGGAGAGCAGCTGTGAGCAGATCATTGATAATTTAAGAGTCACTTTAATGGTCACGATTACTCATAGGGCTATAGTCTTTTGAAGGAAAAATTTAAAAACATACAGGCCAAAAGAAACAAACTCATAGAAAGAGAAATGAAAACTACTGGGGTAAAATAGAAGATGTGGTGAATAAAATGTCAAATAGAACACCACTCCTGGTGGAGCAAAAAAATTTCTTTTATTAGAGAAAGTATCAGAGGTTCCATTTTCTTCTTCCCAGGTTCAATGACACTGCTTAATAGGTACAAACAGCTCATTCCCAAAGGTAGACTGTAAAAGTCCCAACAAATCTTAAGTGTCAACCTCGAAGTAAGCAGAATGCTGCCACAAAAACACAGCATCAAAAATCAGCGTGACCAAGAGTCTCTCTCACAGTTGGGGAGCCTGACCCTCCAGGCCTCTCCTTGGAAGCAAGTCCATAGTCAGTCACTTGGAAAGTACCTACTGTGTGCCAGGTAACTGCCTAGGGGCTGGAGCTGCCAAGACAGAAAAATGTGGCTGCTACACCCTCAGGGACGCAGGCGTGCACTTTGGGCCAGCCTCATCTCCTGAGGTTGGAAGGCAGTCAACTCTGAGTGCATCCACAAAGAAGCTGGCCTTCCTAGAAGCTGGCCCCTGGAGGACTTGGTACCCATCACCCTTTCTCCAGACCGCTTTCCATTGCTGGTCTCTCTCTTGTTTACGCCGGGACGTTTCCCCAGGTTACATGATCTGCAGTTTCCTTAAGCATGTGCCCACATCATACTGGTGCTGAGAAATGCTCTGGGGTCCCGCCCACGTGGCACGCACACAGCTCATCCCCCCATCTCCCTACATCCCTCCACTCCCCAAAGCACTTCCACCTGTGTCCCCTGCTATTACTCTCGGACTCCGAAACCTCTTTTTCAGGATTCCTCTGAATTGGACCCCTAAAGTAAAGGTGGGAGGTAGTGCAACTAACATCTCCGCTGTGCAAGGCCCAGCACACTGTGAGTCTTGTCTGCAACAAGCTCTGAACCCAGTACCTGCACATACCCAGCGCACAGTCAGAGCACGCTCCCCAGAGGCATGTCGGGAGCATGTCAGCCGACCCTGAGTATGCTTCTCAGAAGGCTTCTCGTGCTGCCCCCGAGATTTAAAAGGGTCAAACAGCCGGAGAAGGCGAGATGGCCTGGGCTGTCCCCCGTGTGGGGGTCTGTGGAAGAGCCTCAAGCTAAGGTCTGTTTGTGTGACACACTGTGGACCACACCTAAGGAATACCATCCCACACAGGGCGGGCACCCAGACCCCTGTGGAAGGCACAAGGGGGGTAGTGAATTAGAGGCACGGGTCAGGGGCCAGGCTTGACTGCTACTCTCTGTCATCTGACGACCTGCCAAAGGAGAGGGTTCTTCAGGTCACCAGCTCTCCAGAGTGGCTGGAAGCAGCTCCCGGTCTGGGGGACAATGAATGTTACTACATGGCTGAGACCAGAAACACCCGCAGTCATGGCCAAGAAGGAATCTTTCTCTGATGGCCTCAGAAGGTCCCTGAAAGGGTCCCTGCCAGGATGAAGCGGGAGCCTGGCCTGTCTTGTGTCTACAGCAGCAGGGAGGATGAAAGGGAGAATCCGTCTGGGGCTTTCTCTCCAGGTCCCGGGGAGAACGTGCAAAGGCCAGGGACCATCTCCCTGGTCCTGCAGGAGAACTGGTAGTGTGCATGGAAGGTGGTATTTCCAGAGTCTATAGCCCTGTGGGTTTGGGCCTTTAGGATGGGCACAGTCAGGTCTGCGAGCCCCAAAACTGTGTGCACGCAGGGCCGGGGCCGTGGCACCCTGGGGAGCTGGACAGGGCTCCCTGAATAGAGCCAACCTATCCCCAGGGGCTTCTCAGAACGGACCAGAGCCAATGGAAACGGAGGAGCGGCCATCTCCATGGCCCCCTTGCATATAAGCGGGATTTTCCCAGCCAGTCCTGCCCAATCTGCTCTTCTCCAGGCCAGACAGGTTCAGTTCCTGCAGTCCCCCGCCCCCCAGCCCTCCAAAGACACGCAAAGCCCTGAGGCGCCCTCCCCAGTCACTGTGTTCTCAGAGCTGGGTGTCTATGTGTCTTTCACAGGGCGAGGCTACCAGCAGCCCCTTGGGTCACAGCAGCTCTGGGGACAACAGCAGGAAAGTGCTGAGTCTCTCTGGACACTTCCCAGCTGTGACTCCTGAGGACTCTGCAGTCACACTGCTGAGCGCCTGACGCTGACACCCCCATCTACTGTCTGGCCCTACTGGACACTCCGTGGCTTCGGCGTCCTTCCTCGCCAAGGAGAGAACAACATACCCTCCCGAGCTGCCTGAGGATGAAGCCACCTGCATGAGTGACGGTGACCCCTAGCCCGTGATCCACTAGTCCTGCTCTTCTCTGGCCTCCTTCGATCAGTACACTGCCATCATCTCACAGCTATTCTCTCAACATGTGACACTACGCCATCACCCATCTACGCCATGAACAAAAATGGTCACCTGGACTGAGTGGGATCAAGACTCAGAGACACTAGAAATTTCTCAAGTAACAACAATCCAGAACCCTACAAATGAGGCTTTCAATCTGCTGTGAATAACGGTACCTAGGTTCCTGCCTTTCTACTGCTTCCATGAAACAGATCCGCATGATTACCCAATGGCTCAGAGACCTTCACTGTCGGGGGTGGTGATGGGGGGTTCAGGGAAGATTATTTGCCTGCTGTTTGTTTTTGGGAAATAGAGTGGTGCTCAGGGTTTACTCCCGGTTCTGCACTCAGGATCACTCCTGGTAGTTGTTGGGGGATCATATGTGGTGCCAGGGATGGAGCCTGAGTCTGTCGCATGCAAGGCAAGTGCCCTAGCCGCTGTACTATTGCCTTGGTCCCTAGTTGCCTACATTTTAGCAGAAAGATGAGAGTAAGTCGGTGGGGAGCCGGGACTGCACCCAGGCAGCCTGCCTCTGCCCCTGACCTCCAGGGAACTCACTCTTAGAAAATCCGTGCTGGCTGGCTGTGGGTACACGGTTTTCTTCCCCAAATGCTCAGAAACCCTCTCTTTTAGAAGTACTTTCTAGAAACTTATACAGGCATCCCTGACAGCTCCAAGCTTCACTAGTCTCTCTGGGGAAGCTACCTTTTTTCCCTCTGGAAAACTGGAAATGCATTTGTTGGCCTTCTGATGGCTCTCCCCTCAAAACCAAGAAACACATGAAAATCACTAGCAAGTATTTGGCTTCCAATCTCAGGACCCATTCATTTGCACAGAGCGCTGGGGTTTCCAAGCCAGGCCCTGGTGAGTTTGCTGAAAAGCTTTTGTGTAAAGATGCACTCTCTCCTATTCAAGGAGAGCTGGCCCCCATCACTCTCGTGCCCTTCCTATGACAAGACCATTCTCTGCGAAGGGGACCCAGTCAGCTGAGAGCTCAGCTGTCAGTCACAAGGCAACGGACCATCTGTCCAACGAATGTCTTTCAGGAAGGAGGAAGCTGTGGTCTACACAGCAGAACCTCCCTCCCTCTTACACACTGTCTCGGTCTGCCACTCGGCGTCACTGAGACGCCTCGTGCATTAGGTCACTCAACCTTCCATGTAACCAGGGACAGCTCAGACACAGAACCCAATCCAGTTTCCACACCTCTCTCCAGCTCCTGCTCAGAAGCCTGAGACCACGGCTTCACCTGTGCAGGAGAGGGGAGGGGGCCCATTATTATCGCTTGCTGCTTGGGGACAAATTCACTAGAAGAAGCAACCCTGACTGAGAAGCAATTCTCAGCAAGGCCACCTGCACAGCTGGCTGCTGTGCTGGTCTCTGGTCTACAGCCATTTGTGCCAGGGCATGTCACCCATGTCTTCTACTTGGCTGGGGGCCTGGTCACATTCGCCTACACCTCTGCTGCGCTGATGCTCTCGTCTCTCCTCCGTCTGGCAGGTGCACCTGTCATCGAGACTCCTTCCCACAAGTGACAATGACCTCTCCGTGCTCACCTCCACTTCCCTCTGCTCTGGATGCAGCAGTATTAGTAATGGAGATCTTAACCTGAGATTTCTGACATCTTCCTTAACGGTTTCAGGGAAATAAAGCCCGAGGCAACGGTCATGTCACAGGGTATGTCTCACTGGAAAGGCCAGTCTCCAGGCTCCTATCCCATGTCAAGTGCCTACTGTAGCCGCCCCCCCCCCCCCCCCCCCAACACACTGTGTGGCCACTTCTCACTAAACAGGGCTGGTGCTCTGGACATAGAGAACAAACCCATTTCTGAGTTATACAATAAGGGGTGATGTGTGGAGAGAGGTTTGAAAACTGGATTGGGTTCTGCGTCTGAGCTGTCCCCAGTTACATGGGGGGTGATGGGAGGGAACCTGGGGACACCGGTGCTGGGAAATGTACACTGGTGGAGGGGTGGGGGTTTGGAACACTGTATGAAACCTAATCATGAATGGCTTTGTAAGGGTCTATCTCATAGTGGTTTATTAATATAACAGCAGTTCTAAACATCCACTCCCGAGGGCAGACACTTCCCAAAAGGAAATGAACTACATAAAGGTGTGTCCGCACTGTGGGAATATGGATAAGAATTAGGGCTTTATTTATATGTCTTGAACACCACAGAACTGGACAACTTGACACAAAAACGCGCGTGCTATTTGGTGCAGAGAGGTAGGGCGCAGCAGGTGCCCCTTGGCCCAGCGTGGCAGTGGCCGCTGTTCCCTCAGGCCTGTAGACAGTGCAGAAAAATATCCTGAAGCTGAATCTGTGTGTAGATGTAGTCAATGACCTTCTCTGGTATGTAAACAACAGAGGAAGGAGACAGACCCAGCTGGCGATGGTTGGGTGTCCACACCCTGTCCCGGATGGGCCATTTAATAGAAAAATGTGCTTGTGACCATGCAGTACTGTTTTTTGAGAGATCTGAGAATCTAACTTCTGCACCTTCTTAAAGATGGGATTCTTCGCAATGCCAGAGTCATACATATACATAACTATACCTCCTCTTCCCGCTAGAGGGCAGCCGTGTATAGACTTGGTGAGCAGAGAACATTCAGGAAGACAGGAAAAGAACACATAACCTGACTTGCAAGCATAGTTAGAAGTCTAGTTTTGTATGTTACCTTGAATGTTGCAAATGCATCTGATGCTATGTCAAAAGTTGACATTTCAACATATCTGAAGAAATCATAGAACTGTTCTGACCACAAAATGATTTTTGCAAGTGGTTCATGTCTGATGCATTCTCTTAACATTATTCCACAATTTAGAGCTATTTCTGGAGATTCATACCTGCAGAAAGAAAAAAAACAAACATTAATTGGTCTTTAAAAACTCCAAGGCTGAAAAGCGCAAAATTCTGGAACAGGAAGCTTCCAATGGGCCCTAAGTAAGTAACCAGAGGAAGTTACACAAGGCTTTTCTCTCAGAGTAAACTAGGGGTTTAGGATAATTTACCCTGGAGGACTCAAGACACTCAGTTGGTGATGGTTGCTTAAACCCATAGAGAAGTAACAGCCTCAAGAATGACCGCATGTTGGGACTGAAGCAATAGCACAGTAGGTAGGGCATTTGCCTTGCATGTGGCCGACCTGGGTTTGATTCCCAGCATCCCACAAGGTCCCCTGAGCACTGCCAGGGGTAATTTCTGAGTGCAGAGCAAGGAGTAGATTAACCCCTGTGCATCGCCAGGTGTGATCCAAAAAGAAAAAAAAAAAAACCCGCACGAAAGCAAATCCATTCAGTGGAAATTGAAGTACTTAGAAAAAGTCTCCAAACCAGAGCTACACGTAACATGTAACACGGGGCACTCACAACCCCCTGGGACACACACACACACACACACACACACGCACACGCACACGCACACGCACACACGCACACACGCACACACATGGCTGAATCAAAAACAATAATGAAAACTACAAATTTCCCGTATTCATAGTATCTCTGTCCTGTTTCTGATTCAATCCTGTAACCTTAGGGACTGGAAAGCCTGGTCTGGAGGGTCTCAGAGCCCTCAAGAGGCTGGCGGGGTGCAGGCTCCCAGGTCCTCCCCCTTTTCCATCACAGAGAAACCCTGGCTTTCTGGCCCTGCTCCAAGCCCTGCTCTCCTCCTCCACTGCCGCTCAAGCGGCAAGTGGCCTCCTGTCCTGCCTGCAGCCAGAATCTGCTTCCCAACACGTGACCAAGACTCACGGGGAGAAAGACATACTCTCTCCCCACAGACTCGGCTTGGAGTCCTGACGGTGCCAATCATGGCATCTTATGTTGTGAAGCTCAGAAGGAACCCACCCTACGGCTATGCTCTCTGTCCCCAAGTGGGCCGCATGGCCTTACCCTGACCACGGACTCTCCAGAGTCTCTCAGACCTCCACAGCGAGGATTCCTTGTGAGGCTGTGTGCCTCTTAACCAGGGACAGCCCTACTGGAAACTCATGTGCTTAAAATCAAACCCCACCCCCCGCCACAAAATAACCCCTCCCGCAGGATTCCAACTTTTGTAATTTGGCATCACTGCTCTGTCTCAGAGTCCTGAGCCTCACAAAGGTCTGGCAGCTTCCTGGGTTAATGGAAATGTTCTCGGATGTGGGGTTCATCATGTAGCTTCTCTATATGGCTACTGAGTGCTTGAGACATGGCTAGTATGACAGCAGGCCTGAGCTTGAAATGTTATCTGATTTAAACCTTTCCAGTTCAGCTGCACTCTTGTCAGTAGCTGCTGTTACACAGCACGTGTCTAGCGCTTCCAGCTCTCTCATGCCAGTTGTTTCATCGGTGGTGGCCCCAGTCTCTTCCATACTCTTTGGGAAGTAGTTACATGTTGTCTGCATGTCTCTACTCCCCCTGCCACCCAGGCGCACACCACAGGGACCATCTGATAAGCAGCTTCTGATCATGGCCCACCGATAACAGACCTCACCAACACCAAGTCCACTGAGAGCGTTTTCAGCTTCAGGCATTCAAAATGACTCTACGGCACTCATCAAACTGACAAACTTCAGAGCTGGATGTTTGGTTCTTACACAAAAAATCTGAACTTCTGGAACAATGCCATCTCCCAATGTGCCACCAATCCCTGACTGCCAGTCAGGGCTCATTCCTACCCCTGGATCCACCCTTCCCCTTTCTTGGTGGACGCAGTTCTAAACCACCTGAAAAGCCACCTCTAAGTCCCGTCTCTTTCACCAAACCTTGCTGTATTCACTCACTAAGCCCCATCTGATCCCCTGAAGCCCTGAGTGCCAGCTGCTATTCGTAATGAAGACCTTTCCTTTGTACTTAAGTTCAGCAGAGATCTCCAATGAGATCAAAATGGCATTCCTTCATGGCACTCTGAATATGGCAGCTAGAATGTTGTCTGGCTCGCAGGGGATTACAACGGGTGCTCCCAAAAGGGGGATCATGTGGCTCTTTTTTGCTATCTTTAATTAGCAGAAGACTAGGAAGACAAGGGAGAGATGGTTCAGTACAACAAGTCGGGTGGATTTTGATGGTGGTCTGTCAAGCCTGTCTTAAATGACTGAACCAAACACTAACGAGGACAAAGCACATAGTTACCTGCATAACTTCCTAGCTCTAGCAGGGGGAGTCCACCCACACCGAGGCTGCCCCTCAAGCAAACACTGACTCCTGATGTCTAACACCAGTCACACCATCAGTGGCTGCAAAGCTCCACTAATGAAACTCCACGATGAAGCTCACTGCTCTGTACAATCCGGTGGACACCTCGTAGCTCCCTGTTCTGCTCAGACGCCTGCTTTTAACTTGTCTCATGGTCAAAGGAATACAGCCAAAGCAGATATCACATTGTATGGAAACAAAATCTTAGAAGACAATTCACTCCTTGTAGGAGCTGTTTGTTTCAGATCTGTGGAAGGAACCTGTATAGGATCAACAAGGAGCAGCTTGTTTCAAATGGTGGGAAGTGGGGTGGGGAGAGACAACGACTGAGACACATCAAATACATTTCTAAAATTCCAAATGAGATTCACAACAGTGCTGAAAAAACGGACAGACTCACTGCTCATCTAAAGTAGCTAGGACACCAACTGAAATTGACTTAAAAAAAAAGATAAAGCAAGAAGAAACAACTGTCCACACAAACGCAAGAATTTTCTCCATACATATTGTACTGGTAAGTCATTCACTGAAAAACCAAGACAGTTACTATATGGAGAAGGGATTGCAGAATTAGGAATTTACCATTCTGAACTGAGGCAATGATGTTGCATGTTAGGTGACACTGCAGAGTAGAGCCTGACCACCCCTGGACCCACTGACTAATGTAATCCAGGAAGCACACAATGCCATCCACGAAGAGCTCCTGCTCCCCTGCAGCTGAATTTGATCAAACCTCTAGACCTAATCGGCAATCTCCGAGAATGAGGAGCAGAACACATTACATAAAGCCACGGGGATGCAAATCCAATTACGCGATTCATAATGACCCAGTCATTTCAACGAATAAAAGGTACTGGGTGTGCGGTGGGGAGGGCAGGAACTGCTGCCACATTTAAAACATAAAGTAGAGCTCTATCAACCAAATTCAGTTTGTGGAACTTGTTTAGAACCTGATTTAAGCTAAGTGAAAAAAAGGCATTTTAAAAGGAACCCTGAGTATTGCTGGGCACTAGCAATGCCAGGTTTATAAAGGATAGAGCGATTATGTTTTCAGAAGAAAATACGGAGCACGGGCTCTGCATACAAGGGAGCCCACTTTGCTCCCCAGCACCACCTGGCTCCCTGAGAGCACCACCGAAGGGGGTGTCCTCAGCACTGCACCACATCCTCCAGCTCTGCTGACTGATAACGAGTGACCCCTGGGCTCTGGAACACACCAGGAAACCCATCACCCGTAACGAAGAGGGGAAATCTTTGGGTACATGGACAAGCGAAGCAGGGTTACATCTGAGAGGTGAGAGGAGACAGGAAGAGATGGAGTCAGAGTGGCAGGAGTCAGTCCTCGATGAAGCTCGCTGCTCTGTACACTCCGGTGGACACCTCATAACTCCCTGTCCTGCTCTTCTCTCTAGCGAGTTTGCTCTGCGTCAGCTCAGACGCCTGCTTTTAACTTTTTCTTTAAATTGGACCTCAAAGTCTTACTTTACATGACACTTAACACTGCCCCATTGATTCTACAATGTGAATGTAGGGAAGTTAACTTTAAGTTCTTGGTCTTAGTAGTTACTCATCTCTCTGGAAAAGGAAATGCAGACAAAGGCACCTGAAGCTGCTCTGAGGTCACCCCAATGTCAGACACTCACTACATGTGCACACATGCGACTCTGAGCCGACACAGCAGGGTAACAGATGCCAATGCTCTGTATGGCAATATCCGAAGAAGCAACGCGATGGATAGAAATAGAAAGAAGGAAATAGCGCGCTGGCATCCAACACACTCACTGACTCAGGCTTTGTCTAAACAAGCCTGAACTTGAGGGAAGTGTTAAACCGCAGAGCTATGAATCAGAGGAGGCGAGCTATAAGGTGAGGAGGAGGAGGAGGGCACGCCGATTCACAGCCAGAGCCAGCTAATAAAAAGCTTGCCGCCAACAGAGACCACCACCAGTGCCGGGACAAACAGATGCACCACCACAGCCAGAGCTGGCACAGGGCTCTGGCGTGACACCATGGGGGGTGGGCGTGGGTGGGGGTGTGACCTTGCCAATAGGGTGGCACAGGAAGGAGGAGTTTTTTCCTTCAAAAATTTGAAGACATCTTAGTATTGAGGGTTTTGGGGTTTGTTTCACGTAAGTAGAACAGAGTGCCTGCTTGTTCCAATAGTCATTCCAGGAAGAACCACTGTGACAGACCTGAGGGTTAGTGAGCACACGCACACAGACAACAGTGAAGGGCTCTGCTACAGCAGCACGTGCCCGGGCGACTGGACAGAGCCCAGCTGCAGTGTCCAAGCACCACCTGTCCAGCAGAGCAAACTGCCGCCCTTCCAGGGAAGTGCAAAGACGACCCCGCTAAATGGGCCAGTGAACGGACACTTCAACCAGATAAAATTTTCATCTGACAGAACAGAAGAAAGACCCCAAGGAATGACTTCTGTCTTGAACCATGTATGACGGAAGAGATTAGTGGCTCACTATTTACCTACCCTTCAGCTGCTCGGAGCACTGTCCAATCCAACTGAGCCCACGGGTTGGATTTTAAGGAGGGAACTGTGTTCTATGGAAAAACGAGCAGACAAAACATACTTCCCCACACTCACCATCCTGTTTGCACCCAAGACCATTGTTCCTTCTTATTTTTCAACTGAGAATATAAACATTATTACATTGTACATACCCTTTCAATAACATGAACAAAATATTCTGTTGGGTGCAGATGTATTCAACAGTAGGAGTTCTTGTACCAATTTGTCTTCTGAGAATATTGTTGAAAATTTGAGCCACGTCTTTTTTGCCCTATTAGGAATACAATCATTAAAAAATTTTTACCTGACTAAGCATCATAATGACCATCCACCCTCCCGAATAAAGCAAGGTAGTGCATATTTATAATTATGGCTATGTGAGTTTACAGAGTTTACAGAAGTCAAGTTTTCTTACTTCGTTTGACTTTTAAGTCCAGATTCTCCATTATAGTTTTACACTATTTTTAACATGCGTGATGTGTCGAACAAAGTGAACTCTCACTACATAGCATTTCTAACCCTTCTCTTAGGCTGACTCAGGAGCTGGATTCTGATCCAGAGGAATAAGCAGATTCAAACAGGAAGTTCCTGCTGTAAACAGTACAGAGGGGTGGAAGGAGAAGAAACTGGGCTCTGCGAGGGTAACAAAATGGAAGAATTCTTAAGAGCCCCAGCTGCCGACACAGTGAATCCATCTCCCGTTGAAACGAGGTCTACTTGGGCAAGATTTCATCGCGACTAGCATGAGGGCACGCACTGACCACCTGATGTAGTCCAGAGAGAGGATTTACTTCTTATCAAACAGGAGGGAGGACACTACTGCTATCTAGAACCTTTTAACTGGGAAGCTGCACAGGGAATGAACAAACGAAGAACTGGACCCTATGGCTTGTGATGGGGCTTCTGAGCCTGCAGCCCTGTGAGTGTCACAAACTCCCGAGTGCCAGGCCATCTTGGGGCCCTCTCGGGCCACCTCCACCCCGTCTCCAGACCCACCCATCTTGACAGGGAGCTCTCAAGATGTGCCAGAGGAATATGAAATTCAGCGTCTAGGTTCAGAAGTAGAATGGGCAAAGGAAAAGGCAGCAGATACAAGAGAAGACAAGAGAGAGGAAACTGGATGCTCTGGGGTATTCCCAATTTTGCAGGAAAACCAAAAATTGTTACTGGAATTTGACAGGCTACTAAAAATAGATGAAACCACCTACACAAATAAAAATATCATGGGTCTAGTTTTTCCCCAGAATAGGAAGAGAGCAACAGTCTTGTACTGAAGTCACGCATCCACCACACCCTTCCATCTTCCAAGATTGAAGCTGGAGATACAGCTGCCATCTTTTTTTGGGGGGGGGGGGGGGTGTCCAGCATATCCAATCTCTGAGGAACCCGTGGCTGGAATAAAGACAACACTGCTCGGGACAGTGCCGAAGCTCTTCACACCCAGAGACGTGTTATTCTCCCTGTTTAAAGTACTGCACCTTGAACAGGGCACCAGCCGATGGAGTAAAACTCAGCAACAACTTCTGATGCTGCCCAGAGCACGACAGGCCCGGCCAGGGTAGGGAGAAAAGGCAGGTGGGGAAATCAAGCCTGGGTGGAAAAGCAGCCATGCTGGCCGGCTGGTGGGCTGTTGCAGCTCTGCTCTGGCCAAGGGCCACACAGGAAGCAGCCTAGGGTAGCCTGAGTACAATTTTTCAAGTGACATGAGAAATTCAAAATTGTGTATAAAATCTGCCTATTTAAATGTTCCAATTAAAAAATGGAAAAGTGAAACTTAGTCCTATACTAAGTTCCTTCCTGGGTGGGGAGTTTCTTTTTCTTTCCCTCCTACTTTTCAATATACCTTTCTATTTAAAATAATAACAACAATAATAAAGTGGTGCATAGTAAATATACAACACATACACCCACACACCAAAAAGGCCCTGACCCGTTTAACCTTGAGTCTCGCTGGATGGTCTCGAAGATATTTACCTCCTTCAATTCTAACATTCAAAGACCAGAGAATTACGCAAAAATGCAACTGTTTATTAATAAAGCAGCCTAAGTGACCGAAGGGCATAATGAACAGTGCTGTTCGTTAAGTCGCAATTTAAAAGGCAGGTCACTGGGGGACAGGGCCTCAGCAGGCAGCTCAGCAGCACCCTCCCAGGACACATGAGGGCCACAAGGGGCGCAGGGTCTGGAGCTGGACCTTACCTCAAAGTCAATGAGCTGCAAGTCGGCCACGAGCGTGCCGAGGAGGCCGCTGTTGTAGAGCTCCTGCGCCAGCTGCGCCACCGCTTCCGTCTGCGGCTCCTTCTCATTCGTGCCGTAGAGAATTTCTTTCATGGCAACCAAATTTTTGGAGACTTCTTCTGTAGCCTGATTTGAGGGAGAGAAGAAACAGTTCATTTCACGGGACAGAGAATCAGGAGCTCCTGTGTTAATGCCTTCTCAATGTCGCGGACACCCACACACTGGGCGCAGAAGTGGGCAAGCCCATCCTGTGACAGGCCACTGGGTGTGCCGACATGGGGAGCAAGAGATGCCCCAGGGGAGAGATCCCGCCAGCCGGACCCTGAACGCAGGCGTGTGGCTTCGCAAAGCCAAGCTCCTTCTCTGGGGAAGGGGACTGCACGGAGGAGGGGTGAAGCTTGACCTGAGGAGAGTGAAACAGGTGACAGGTGAGCACCGGGGGGAAGGGAGATGGAGGGGAAGGAACAGCCAGGGCTGAGGCAGAGGGAACACAGGGTCTGCCAGAGAAGAGCGACAGCAGAAAATGGAGATGACAGAGGCTTTGAAAGCAAAGCTAAAACGTTAGCAGTCAGTAGAAAGTCACAAAAACCTTCCACTGCTGACCAAGATGGAAGTAGAGGGAGGAGAGATTTACCCTCCCCCTTAAGAAGGCCTGAAATACAGAGAAGACACGGAATGACCTTTCCCTAACACTGAACTCCAGGCAGTGAGGGCAGAGAGCCCCGAGAGGGAAGCCACCGACATGGATCTCACAGAAGCCCTGGCTTGCAGTGCCCACCCCAGGCAGGACAGGTGGTCTCTTGTGAGTCAGGGCCGAATGCCAGAGAGGACAGTGGAGAGCTTCTCAACACTTGCCCAGAGGGGAGACACTCAGGCTGGGACTAGGACCCCGGGGCTCAGCCCAGGTACAGAGAGTTCCTGAGAGCCCAAAAGGAAAACCTTTTACCGGCCATGCGCTAAGCACAGCATTCAAAAGGGTCTGCCTCAGTTAACAGACAAAACGAGCCCTGGAAAAAACTCTGCTCTGGTCCTACCAAACAGAACTTAAAAGCCTGTAAGGGTTCAAAGTGGGAAAAAGATACCAGTAATGAGAAAAAATGTAAACAACAGAAACAGCTCTCAACATGACAAAGGTGACAGAAATAACAAACAAGGACATTAAAAAACTGTAACTATAACCAGTGTCTTCTAGAAAAAAGCATAGTCAGAGGTCAGAAAAGCACTTTCATAAAGCCCAAATCAAACATTAGAAATAAAAGCGATTTCAGATAAAAAAAAAAAACCCCACACCGAACTGGACACTAGAAGTAAAGATTTATATAGATAGAGCAATATAAATGTCTCCAAAATAAAACGTTGGAGGGTGCGGTGGGGCCTGGGGAGAGGAGAGCAGTGAATCATGGGAACTTTGAACAATCTAGTATGTGCGAGTGCAGTCCCCCAGAAGGGAGGCACATAGGAGGGCGGGGGGGAGAAGACATAGAGGCTTAAAAAAATAGGCAATATTTCATGCAAATTTGATAAAAACTATAATCTTAAGCACAGTAATGGGAAGAAAAGTACACTGAGGGATCAAATAGTTTCTGACAGTAATGATGCAGCTTGAAGATAGCAGGGGCAGTCAGTGTCACGGCCTGGGGAAACGGCCACTGAGTGTTCGACACGCAGCTAAAATGCTTACAAACTGAAGGTAAGGCAAAGAGTTTCTGTGACACAGAAAAGCTGTTAGATCTCGTCACTTGCAGAAGGAAAATGATTTCAGCTGGAAATCTCTATATTCACAGAAGAACGGAAACCACAGGGCACTGAGTGGGCAGATTCTCCCACTGCCGGTCTCTAACACGCGCTTCCACCCTGGCACCAGGTGGTCCTGTGGGAACAACACTACATACTCAGGCCCTAGCACTGACCTGCCCGGCCTGGCTGGCCGAGAACTGCTGGAAATCACCTGACCCCCTGCTCCGAGCACCCAAGGCTCCCAGAGCACTACCGGGAAGGGAAGTCCCCCCATCCAAAGGTCTTCAAAAATTATAGGCTGTTTCAAGGGACTGCCCTGCCACAGAGGCAGGGTGAGATGGGAGGGATGAGGGTGGGAGGGATATTATCCATGGTGGTGGAAAATGGGCACTGATGGAGGGATGGGTATTTGATCACTGTATAATCGAAACCCAAGCACAAAAAATTGTAAATCTACAACTGTAAAAAAAATATTGAATGTAAAAAAAAATTATAGGCTGTTTAAGGGGCTGGAGCAATAGCACAGTGGGTAGGGTGTTTGCCTTACACGCGGCTAACCTGGGTTCGATTCCCAGCATCCTATATGGTCCCCTGAGCACTGCCAGGAATAATTTCTGGGTGCATGAAGCAGGAGTAACCCTTGTGCAAAGCCGGGTGTGACCCAAAAAGCAAAGCAAAGCAAAATACACACACACACACACACACACACACACACACACACACGCTCTTTAAAACAAAATATGAATCATGGTGTTTTGGCATACATATGATAAAAGTACATGGCAACTATGTACTTTTATCATATGTATGCCAAAACACCACGATTGTCCCTGAACTTTTGGAATGTGATAATCACAAGACATGATAAAGCAGTGCTGTAAGGTTCTTGTACGTGAAAATTTATAATATTCGCTGAGAACACACTGCAATAAGATAAAGGTATATCTGCAGGTCTTAAAGCAACCACCAAAAGCAAAATTTAAAAAACCCCTAGTTTATAGTTAATAAGTCAAATGAGACTCAAGTAGCCCATTAGAGCATTGTAGCATTGTCTTCCCATTGTTCATTGGTTTTCTCAAGTGGGCACCAGTAACGTCTCCATTGTGAGACTTGCTGTTACTGTTTTTTGGCATACTGAATATGCCACAGGTAGCTTACCAGGCTTTGCCGTGCAGGTGGAATACTCTCGGTAGTTTGCCAGGCTCTCCGAGAGGGGCAGAGGAATTGAACCCAGGTCGACCGCGTGCAAGGTAAATGCCTTACCCACTATGCTATCGCTTCGACCATTAGAGATGAGTGAAAAATTTAAAACTTAGCTTCTATAGCCTGTTATACAAACTTCAGACATACGCATCAGAGACTCACACATCAGCAGCAGCTAAGCCATCCCCACCCTTCCATGACCTCTAATTTTCTTACAAAAATTATGTTGCCTCACTTAAGTATTTCCAACATTTATAATTCAGCATAGAATTCAGTATAATTCAAAACAGATTTCAGAATCAGATGGCTGCTAAAAATTATTTTGAGACAAACACTGCCTCACTAATCTCTTCTGGTTTGGCACTGCGAACTGGCAGGGTTCTAACTTCTCTTCCCTATAAATGGGTTTCTCCGAGTGCATCTGGCCTCCATTCATTCCCTGGTCTTCCAACAAATCTCTCAGCTTAACTATCCTTTTAAGGTAGGTAGATTCCTACAACAGAATGATAGAAAACACACTGGATCTCCATTTCCCACCACTGCAAAAGTTAATTACAGCCTGAGGATACACTGAAGACATTCTGCCAATACATGTAATTCATACCTGCAGTCACTGTTCATGAAAGCCACGGTATGATGCCGGAACGAAAACCCTTATACTTCTCACTGTCCATCATTAAGGCAGTACTCCTGGATACTCCTTTATTTAGTTTTTCAAGTAGAGGCTAACAGGGTCACACTCCACAATGCTCAGGTGACCGGGCAGTGCGGGAGACCGAACACAGGCCCCCCCACAGGGAAGGCATGTGCTCTGTCACTTAAGCAGTCTATCCCCGACCCACTTCTAGATTCTTAAGGACATCCAAGGTATGCTAGTTATTGTTCTCATATTTGCATTTTATGAAAATAGGTATGACTCCCACATTCATATAGAAAGGGAGTGACGGAGTGGAGCCTGTCATTAGGCCGCTTTTGAGTCACCATGTTCTTTTCAGTAATGACCTACTTTGGGCATGTGCGTTCCAGTCACTTACATGTACACCTATTTCCAAACTGTATTCGAAAATTATTCAATACTTTGACAAAATGGGAAGATACTAATTCTTCTAGAGTTTTTGATTACTAGAAAATGAATCTATCTTTTAGCCAAACCTATGCATTTTCTACTTTCTTTTCTAAAAAAGCTTATGAATTATCTTCCTTATAATCAAATTACATGAAACCTGACTCTACCAGTAGTAAGCAGAATCTTTTACCTTTTACTTTCTGCTGTTACTACTCTATTTATTCTTTATGAGGGATGTTTTTTGGCGGGGTGGTTGGGCCATATCCAGTGATCTGCAGGATTTACCTCTGGCTCTTTAAACTCCTGGCAGGACTTGCGGGGGATGGAACCCAAGCTGGCTGCGCGCAAGGCAAGCACCTTACCTTACCTGCTGTACTCTCTCTGGCCTTCTATTGTTGGTTAATGCCTTTCCTTTCTGATAGCAAACAGTTCATTAACCCAATTAATTTGCTTCAAATATATCAAGCAAATTTAAAGCATACCAGAATGTATCTACCCCCCCCCCCCCGCCCAAAAGATAAAATCACTCTCAACAGTCAATGTTCTCTTCTGACTTAACCCATGAGCTGCTTTCTCCGTGCCATGGTACTGATCTCCCCCTTGAGATGATGACCTCTGACAGTAGGGAATCGCTTACTGGTCTGATACCTGTGACCCTTTGGAGCAAGCCTCACCCCCTTTTCCTCTTCTGCCTGGATCACAGTTTGTAGACTCACAGCAACTTATCAGATGCCTATGGAATGATACCATTTTAAGTCTGAATTCAGACTCCATGCTCAGTTAAGGAATTAAAAAAAGAGCCTGGAATGTAGCTCCGTGGTAGAGAGCATGCCCTGAATGCATGAGGCCCTGTACAAGATCCTGGGCACTTGCGGGGTTGGGGGTCAAAGAGGGGAGCATCAAAGGATATTGAAAAACTGGGTCTCCCAAGCAATGCTCAGGTGTCACTCCTGGTGAGTGACTCCCAGGGGCTCCCAGGGGCAGACCCAGGGGTGCTGATGGGGGCATGTGGAACCAAGACTCAAACTAAGGCCTGTACTACAGGCCCTTCAGCCCCACCTTATCTCCCCAGCCCCTGGGTTTCTTTTTGAGGTGATGAATACTTCTAATACCTCAGGTT